GTGGGGAGCTGGTCGTACTCGCAGCAGAGGCGGCAGAGGGTGTGTTCTGGGGAGGGTCCGCCCAAGACCGACCTCATGGCTTTTAGTCCCAGCCTTACCCCGTGTCCAGTACCAGATGTGCAAAGGGAAGAACAGTCTAGTGGAGAGGACTACTCAAGGAAGGTGAGTTATTACTTTTTATTTCCATATGTTGCCTTATGAATAATATTTTATTAACCGCTTTCCCCCATCTTATGTATGTCTCAGATATCTTCATCCTTTATAACAGCATATTTCTATAATCAAATATTTTAGTAATACCTAATATAATATTTATTTTAAAGTTCATGCTGTATTTTGTCTATTGTACCTTATGTATTTTTTCTTGATACTTCAATTTTTTAAATTCAACCTATTTTTAAATATTTATATTTCCAATACAAGTATTTGATGTAGTTTGTAGGTTTTTTCCCTTAAACCACTGTCTTTTTTATGTTACAAGTTTTTATGAGATTAGTACTTTATTTAATTTGTACTCATTAGTACTTTAATTTTATTTAACTTTCAAATCTAAATTTTGAAATGACCCTATTATCTTAACAAAGACTGCTCTGGTAAATTCTCTTGATGGTGAAACAATATAACTTATAATGCATACTATATCCTCAGTAGGCAGTGTTTACATTTTGTTTTTAATGGTAAGATGTGTAGACTTAAACTTTGTTCATAAATGTCATAATTGGGGCACCTGGATGGCTCATTCGGTTTAGCATCCTACTTTGACTCAGGTCATGGTCTTATGGGTTCGAACCCCACATTGGGCTCCCTCCTATGAGCAGGAAGCCTGCTTAGGATCCTCTGTCCTCTTCTCTCTCTGCCCCCCACCCCCCGCCCACTCGCAGGCTCTCTCGCAAAAATAAACATTAAACATAAAAATAGTTATTATGTAATAGTTATTGACATAATTTTACGCAGTAGCTTTTTATCATCTACTCCTCTATCAGCATGAAATCTTGCTTATGATATTCAAGTATTAGCTTTTTCATTCTGAGGAAAGAGTCATGATTATGTTTAATAATGGAGAATATTTGAAAATCACTTTAAGGAGCTCAAAAAAGTTACTTTAGTCAAAATAAATATGAAAAATTTGAAGAGAAAATTGAATTGTTCTCTTAGAATGTTTCCTAGGGGCGCCTGGGTGGCGCAGTCGGTTAAGCGTCCGACTTCAGCCAGGTCACGATCTCGCAGTCCGGGAGTTCGAGCCCCGCGTCGGGCTCTGGGCTGATGGCTCAGAGCCTGGAGCCTGTTTCCGATTCTGTGTCTCCCTCTCTCTCTGCCCCTCCCCCGTTCATGCTCTGTCTCTCTCTGTCCCAAAAATAAATAAACGTTGAAAAAAAAATTAAAAAAAAAAAAGAATGTTTCCTACTGATTTCATATCATATAAGTGCAATTTAGGTTATAACTACTTTAGTCATCTTAAACAGGGTTGTGTTGGAAGAGGTGGACTGAGAAATGCCAGATAATTAACTCGCAGGATGCCAACACTATCCTATTCATTATTACATTCTAAAACATGTTATCTGGTCCCTATGATTTAATTTTTGTTTAAGTTCAGTGTTACAAAATAGCAGTGCAACTAGTTTACGATCTTGACTCTGGTTCTTAGCAATACTCTTTCCGTTCTGTATGCAGACTGAATTTTTACTCTGAATGTGCCTCACAAAAAGCTTCCCATAAATCTTGAAATCTCAGGGCACCTAGGTCACTCAGTTGGTTAAGCATCCCTCTATTGATTTTGGCTTAGGACATGATCTTGTAGTTCATGAGTTCGAGCCCACATTGGCTCCTCACCGACAGTGCGACAGTGCGGAGGCTACTTGGGATTCTCTCTCTCTTTGTCTCTGTCTCTCCC